GTGCATGCTGTGAGTCAAACCACTGCAAAGCCAGGGCCGCAGCTGTTGCCCTCTGGGACCTCTGTCTGCTGCTCCTTTCAAGCCTGGCCCACCTTGGCTGAGATTCCCCTGGGACTTAGTCAGAATCAGATAACCAGAAATAATGATCAGGATGTAGCCTCTGGAGCCAGATTGCCTGGGTTCGGATCCTGTCTCTGATAGCAGCTGTGTGACCCACGGCAAGTTACTTAACCTCTTTCTGCATGCTTCCTTATCTATAAAATGGGGATCATAAGAGTATCTTCCTCATAAATGATTTGAGGATTAAATGAATCAAGGATATAAAGTACTGAAAGAGTCCTAGCACACAGCAAATCCTTGAGAAGGGTTAAATATTATTCTATACCAACTGTTAAAGGCATATCACACATCAGACCTGATACCTGGGAAATGCTCATTCTTTGAGGTTTCCAACGATTTAAATGTATGTACACCAACAGAACAAATACATTTAAAGAGTAAATTATGCAACTTACAATGCATATAAAATTCTCCGCCTTAAGCAAACAAAACAAAACAAAAAACATAGCATAAGGACAATTTCAATACGTACAAAAGTATATTCTTAAACTTTCAACAAAATTGTAATGTTCCCTCTGTCTTCCTCAACATTTTAAAATTTCTGCTTGACTTTTATAGCCACTTGTCTCTCCAAAGCTCGAGCAGTTTGCACAGGGCTCCATAGGTTGTCATTTGTCCCAGGTGCACCTGGGGAATTAGCTTTAGGTTCCACTCACTCTAGGCCAGATGATTTTGCACGTCTTCTCCCTGAGAGAAGCGAGAAATGAGAAAGATCTTAACATATTCACTGGTGGCAGTGAGGATGGCAACCCTCCTCCTCTCCATCCTTACTGCCACACTCGTCTTCCACGGGGAGAGGGCAGTAGGGTCACTCAAATGAGCTTTGAGTTCTAACCAACCAACCTATCAATCACTTTGGGGGTGGCAGTATGTCATGTGCGTGGTTGGCTTACGTTGACAGTTGTCTACCAAGAGAAGGGTAAGAATTCTGGGACCAGAGGTGTGGTTAAGATGTCTCATTGCACTCTGAATTCTATATTATTATTATTTATAAAAATAATCATCATTTATTGAGCCCTTACTATGCCCCAGGTGCTATGCTAGGGATATTAACTAATATGCCATGGAATACAATAACACAGTAAGAGAGACTTGATTACTCCCATTTACACTTGAGGAAATTGAAGGCTACAGAGCTTAAATGACACAGCTAGGAAGTTTTGGAGTCACGGGGCCAATTATCTGACTCCGAAAATGAACTCTCAACCTACATGCTCTCCTCTTTCTCAATTGTATTCTACAATCATTGACAGCACCTGAAATGGGTTCAGAAAGAAGATAATCAGTTATATAAGTAGTCTCTATAACCAAAATGGTGATTATCCTAAGTTAGCAAAAAATTTTCAAAGAAAATGAAATGACATCTTATACATTTGAAGTTACAGCAGAGGAACCACAGAATTGGAAGGGACCTTAGAAGTCGCCCAATTTACTCTCCATGGCCAGAAACTCAGATGAATGTTGGCCAAGCCTCGTGAATACTCCTGGCACCACGCAAGTCACTGCCGTGTGTGGGAGCTGAGTCTACTGTCAGACAGCTGGAACTGGTGGAAGGCTCCTGTTCATTCTCAAAATAAATCTACTTTCCCGTGCCTTCCTTCCACGTTTTCTGACCCTGCTAGAACCACACAGAATAATCTAACCTCTCCTCCACAAGATAATCCAATTTCTCATGTACACTGTAGTCTCCTCATGTGACTCAAACAAAAATTATTCCTGGGATAGTTAGAGGCAATGTAGGGTAGAGGGAAGAGCACAGATTTTACAGTTAGAAAGTCTGTTCAAATTCTGGCTCACTTACTCCTTGCTTAGGACATTCTAGGGAAGTTATTTAACTTCTCTGAGCATCAGTTTCCACATTTCATAAAGGTTTTACTGGGCAGTTCTGAGGGTTAGGATGACATGATGGATATAAAATGCCAGCATGCAGTAAGCTCTCAATAAAGGCTAGCAATTAGTATAAATTAATCTTTTCTCTGGTGAAGGGGCCACGTGTATTGCTAACCTGGGTTATTCTCAGGCTATTGTTGAAACTAGAGCCTTCTCTAGTCCACAGCACATGGGCAATCGACCTGTTGTGTGTTTAAACAGTACAAAAATAGTAAGTTCTCCAGAGAGATGTTAGTAGTTATATTTGTTATTGTTAGTGTGGGGTATGTGTGGTTTTTTTCCGATATATCTAACTTATTTTGGCTACTCAAGCTATACACATCGATACTGGTCAAATGTCCAAACGAACTGTGATCCTGGGATCCTAGGGTCCAAGGTAAGGTATTCAGTTTAAGCTAGATTGTTTAAAGTCAAGTTTTAAACTTCCTGATAATCTGAAATCTCTCCTTAGAGAACTTCAGGGAATGTGTGCCCTCTGCATAAATCTACCCAGGTGAGGAGAGTTTGGGTACCGTGTCACAAGGCCAGTTTTACAGAGCAGAGATTTCTTCAGACAAATGTCTTCCTTCCTTGTAGCTCAGTCCATATTTCCCAGCCCGCCTTGCAGTAAAGAATGCTATTGGGATGGAAACAGTAATTGTCCCTCCAAACTGTGTTCTCACCTTCTTCCAGAGTAATATCACTGTAGCTGGCATGTGACTGCCCAGTCACGACTGCAGCCCCCAGGGCTCTTGCAGCAAGGGATGCTCATGTATCTTGACTCTTGCCAATGGAATGTGAGCAGAAGTGAAGCAGACAACGTCTGCCTCAGTTGCTTAAGAGGCACTCCCTGGCCTTGAACTTCTGCTCTTTCCCCATTCCTCCAGGAATTGTGACCTTGGACACTTCTTCTGGAAGATGGCAGAGATGCCAGCAGCCTGGGTTCCTGAATGGCCACAAGGATCAGAGTTGCCTGCTGGCCTGAAATGCTGATCTTGGAGTTGTTACATAAGAAAGGAATAAACGTTTTGCTCTTTGAGCCACACGATTGTTAGGTCTCTTCTTAAAGCCATTTATCTGCTTGTTTTATCTAGTTCAGCTCTGAAATTTTGTTTAATTTCTGGAGTCAAAACAGTCATTTGTTCGTCTTTATTTGGCAAGAATCAATCATCTATTTTATTGGAGCCACTGTTCCAAAGAAAAGAACAAAATAAAAAAATTAACTCTGTAGGTCTTTTTTCCTAGGAATAACACACAATGGGGACCCTCAGAATTTTCAGTGCGTTCACCCTCTGGGCGATAGCAGCCCAGACCTAATGTCCAGACGTGGTGAAGATTAGACTAGCAGGCTGAAGATGTACTACAGCTAGATATTGTCTTTGCTCCATCTTACTTGTAGCCCCACAAAAACTACCCACCCCACAGAGTTTCTTGTTTGGGCTTCCAGACATTTCCTGTATGTTTTGCCACGAAAAACTCTGTTTCTTCAGATCATGAAGCCTTTTTGCTTCTACCTCAAGTGTCAGTGCAGACTATTTTGCTAAGGAAACTATCAGTTTTGGGGGAAAGCCCCTATTTCTGTGATCTGTGCCCTGGGTCTGGTAGCTTCTTTAGGCTTTCCCAAAGAGCCGCAACCATGAGCCATGGCACATTGTCATTATCTTGACCACGCTCTGTGCACAGGAAATCCTGTGTGAGGCTGGCAGGGGGACAGATGGGATGAAGAAATCACATTCATCAGGACAAGTTGGCCAATTTCCTCAACTAAGGAGTTTGTCTAACATCCAGTGGTTTCCTCCAAAAAAGATAGTGTACTTTCTTAACTTACTGATAAGATTAGTGCATAGAATCACTGTCTGCAGATCTTAGGCTGCTTTTCAGCTTTAATCTTCCTGTGACTTTTTAGCTTTTCTAGACAAAGCACAAATCTCAATGTTTACAATCATAAAATAATACAACAGCATATATTATTGTAATATTAAATTAGAGAAATCTATCAAGCTCAATGAACTTTAAACTAAACGTCTGATCTCCATGATCCAACTTTTGCTACCCGCTGTCCTTCCCAAACTCTGTCATCCTTATCTCTTCTTTCACGCTCATCTCACAATCAACCCATCAGGAAATCCTGCCGGCTCCACTTCAGAATTTTTCCAGAATCTGATTCCTTTGTACTACCTCCACTGCTACCACTCTGGTGTTGCTGCCAACATCTCTTGCTTGGATTAAGTGGCCTCCTAACTCCTCACCCTGCTTTCTCCCACCCACCCTCCAACACACACACACACACACACACATACTCTGTTCTCAACAGGGCAGCCAGAAAGATCCTTTTAAAATGGAAGTCAGGCCATTCAACTCCTCTACTCCTCTATTCAAAAACTTTCGGAAGACCCTCCACTTAGCTCTGAATAAAATCCCAAGTCTGTACAAGGGTCTGTAAAGCCCTTGTTACCTTTTTTACCTCATTGCCTACCACACTCCCCTCCCACTCAGATCCTGCCCCAGTGGCTTCCCTGCTGCTCCTGGATCACTCATGCGTGTTCTTGTTTTAGGGCATTTGCTCTAGCTCATCCTTAACACTCTCCCTGATGTCTGCTTGGGTCACTCCCTCACCTTCTTTAAGACTTGCCTCAAACATCTCCTCCTTGATAAGATCCACTCTGACAACCCTGTTTGTCCTGCTGCTAGCTTCCCAACCCACTTACCCTATGTGATTGTTTAATATCACTTATTGCCCTCTAACATATGAGGTAATTTACTCACTGTGTTTATCGTCCTTCCCACTCACCACTAGAATCTCAGCTTCAGGAAGGCAGCAATCATTGATGCACCCTATGCACCTAGAACACTGAGGGGCACATAGTAAGCACTTTATATATGTTTGCTGGAAGAACGAATGAATGAAACCTACACATGATGAGGTTGATTCTTCTATGAATATGAAATGAACTGGGATGATCAACTTCTCCAGAGACTGAAGCTGCAGAAATTACTTTTTTCCCTAATAGGAGGAAGGTGACAGTAGGAGAGGTTGAACCCTGAGAAGACCTTCCTGAAAGTGGACCAAAAAGTCGAGCAAGGGATCTTGAAAGGACAGCCCTGGTAAGCTCCTCCCGCGCTACCTTACAGGATGACTGACTCGGGGTTGAGAACGCTCTGTTTGTGGCGTTAGGACTTGTCCTTGTTTTTAATTAGAATCTGAGTGACTGAGAAAAGTGGTGTGGATCGAGTTCCCTGCCTCCTGCGCAAATATTTCCTGGTCTGGTGTCAGATATCCCTTCCCCGAGGTGGGTTTGCCATTGAGGGATTAAAGCGCCTTGTGATCCAGAGCCTGGGCTGTCACGGTGCTGCTGACGCACGTGCGGTATCTTGGATCTCTATTCTGTTTCTCATTCACACGCACCTTCGGGCTGAAAGGGCCAGCTTGCTCAATGGAACCAAATGCCTCAACCTGGGGAAGCTGGGGGTCTGCTGTCTGTTCACCTCTCTCAGCCCAGGACTACTCTGCCTGTGGTAGAATTAAAGCCAGGTGAGAAGGGCAGGGAGCCTAGAAAAGCGATGGCTGGAGGAAGGTGAATAAATGGGAAGAACAGATGGGTTGAAACCAAACAAGGAGAACTCAGGCTGGGAGGTGGGGGAAACACCGGGTTGTTAATTTGCTGTGGGGGCCCCTTGCTCCTTGGCATTTTCCTAGTGACACGAGGAACACGTTATTTACTTTTCTCCGCAAAATATGGAAAAAGCTACTTCATTCAAATTTGAAAGCATTGCCAATAGGGGAAGAAAACACTTTGCCAAAATTTGCAAGCATGAATTGCTTTAAAAATGCAAAGATTAAAAGGCTCTCAGATGACCCTCTGACCACTAACACAGTTTCCAGGACGTTCTGCATTGGACTTTCAGCCTAAGCGAGAGGAGATGTATTTGATATGTCCAAATTGAGGCATTCCACACCACCACTTTGCTCAAGCTGGTTTCAGTCACCAGGAAATTTATGAAGAGCAAATTAGCTTTGCTCAGTTGCCTCCTGAATATAACATACACACGCAGGAGTAGCAGTAATTGTGAGGGAGAAAGCTATTGACCGAAGGTAAAAACTTTCTTTCCAAAGAAGGAGGAGTCTATATGAAAGAGAGTTTTCAGATCTTGGGAGTGTCCAGTATAGTTCCCAGCAGCCCGTTGAAAGTTCTTGTGTTGCCTAAACAGCCTCCTGTGGGTAACTGCCAGAGCAGCCCATATAAAAGGAACAGTGCAAAGGTGTAAAAGTCATTAACAGGGGAGAAATAGGAAGCAATCAGCAACACTTTAAACAAATTATTACCGTGAAATTACACTCTCAGCTTGAGATAAATGTCCTGGATCTGTTAAAGCTATATACACCTCACTGGCTTAAACGAGATGAGGAAAGTTTTCCTCTTGGGTTGTTTATGAAGTGTTAGACCACGATGGATGGCGATGCCTGAGCCAAGGGGGGCTGCCTGCTTCTTCCCAGTCTTCCTTTAAAGACGCATTACTTGCACCCGGCCCCTGTGCAGAAAGACTTTTCAAATATGAGTTTGCCTGGACAAGATGCTACCTTTTGGGATGAAACGGACACCTACTGGGCAGACTGTATGTTATTGAGAATTCGTTTTGAACCTTTTCCTGTATTGCCATGAGAGTGGGGACGCGGGCGCTCGCTGCCAGAACTCGCTTGGCGTCCGAGCCCCCCTCCCACGCCACTCAGCCCTCAGCCTGCAGGACAAGCCCTTCCCCCTCCCCCGAGTCTCGAGTCCTCCGCCTTGAATATTCCTGCGACCCGGTCTTATTTTAGGTCCCATCATCCTCGCTGGCCTCCTTTTTGGAATTGACTTTGCGAACTGTCCTCAGTTCCCAGTGACTCAGACCCTGGTTGCTGTTTGCTTCTCCACCCACCACCCTGCAAAGCCCGCGCTGCCGGCTAATTCCAGGCCTCCCGCCCCTGCCGCCCCGTCCTCAGCAGCTTGGACCACTGCACTGCGAGGGAGGTTAGAGCACCTCCCGTTCAGGAAGCCTCACTCTCTGAAGCACAGTTGTCTGTTTTTGAACCTCTTGTCTGTCTGTCTGTGTGTGCTTGGACCCAGTGAGCTACCCGCGGCGTGCCAAGCTGGTCCCCGGTGGCTTAGATGCTTTCCCGCTCCGAGGGTGGGTTTTCCCGGCAGGCGCCGCAGCGTCGCCCCTCAGCGCCTCTGGACGCGCCCAGCACTCTTCCCTCCTACGTGTTTTCTGAAGCCTCCCTCCAGCTCCAACGGTAGCCTAGGGCAGTGCTGATTCTCGGTTGCCCTCACTGCCTTCTTGTTTTAATCACCAGGAAATCTGTGAGAAAATGAGGCTTTGATTTTTTTTTAAGACATCAAGTTGAATCTTAGATGCTAACTTTTGCTGAGAGGTGAAAGGGGGGTGTATATACATAGTGCACAATGAATTTGGACATATGAAATAAAGACGACTTTTTAAATGTACGATAATAAAGTCAGTGAGTCTTGATTAACTCCTTGTTTATCGTCTCAAAAATCTTAGTAATAAAATATTAGCATTGAAAGAGAATGTAGAAATTATCATGTCTAATCTCAAAATGAAGACAATAGTACCATCCATGCCTCCTTGAAATGCTGTCATCCAGTCTCTTAAAGCATCAGAGACAAGGAACTTTCAACCTTACCAAGAAGCCCATTCCAGCTAAAACAACCCCGACGGTGTAAGACAATTCATTCTCATATTTAAATGCCTCCAAGTCATATCATTCTACTGCTTTGTTTTGCCTTCTAGGGATATGTGAAAAATTAATATACAATCAGAGTTGAAAGAGGCATAGGCAAAAGCCTATTACATATTACAATTCTTCACATCTTTTTTTCCAGATGAAGCCTCTCTACTTCCTTCAATTCTCCATTTTGTGACGTGGTTTCAGATTGGTCTCCATCTTTAGATTCAATTCCTATTAAAATTTGACTGCCAGACATGATAATGGTGATAACCACAGAGTTCAACTGCTAAGGAAAAATAACAATGCTTATAAATCTCCTCTTTATTCCAGGCAAACAGATAGAATGTAGCAACAGCGTGAAAGATACAAATCACAGCCAAGGTTGCCTTATAGCCAAAGGGTTCTGGACAGTCTGGGTCAGGCTTTGATTATCTTCCCTATGTAGGGGCCAGTCTAGACTTGCTTTCTTTTTGGATAAGGAATCAACAACCTGTGCACAGAACACCTTGGAACCAGGGATCCCAGAATGGATTCTTGGCTGGGGCCTCTTACACCTTGCTGGTCACGTAGGCATTTTCTTGCTGTGTAACCAGACCCAAGGGCGAGCCCACGAGCCCCTCACCAAGACCAGGTAGAAATCATCAATCTCACTGTTATCAATAAACAATGCTGCCAAGCTGGTAAAACCGCTCTGAAACTTGCCTCGGACCCACCGTTACAAAGCAACACTGCTGTTCAGCACATTTCACGTCTTGACCAGGGGTCAATGCCGTGTAGATGCATCTCTTACTTCAGCAAAACAGCTCAGGCCAACGCCAGGCCTGCTGGAATGACCCTTGCCAGCATACCCGGACTGAACACCCACTCCAGATGTGGTCAGACTGACTCAGTATATGGTGAGATGATGGCGCTCACCTTAAAATAGTCTCCACAATTTTCCCTGTCACCAGAAATCACTGATGCCTCCTTCTGTAGGTTCAGACTAAGGATAAGCCAAGTTTGTTGAGGAAAGAAGTCTAACCAAATCTTTATTTCATTAGCTGGTGAGATCTGAAATTGGTCTTATCTAGCAATCCAGAGAAGTTGGGGTGATTTCCAGGGAGCCTCCTGTCTACCTGTTTTTGCCTTGTCTCTGGCCCCATCTCGACCTTGCCTTCTAGTCTCTTTCTGGCTATCTGATTCTTGGGTTACACTGGAATCCTCTCTTAAGCCCCAGTTGACATGGCTGGATCCTGGAACTGCACGACATTCTTACCAGCCTCATCTCCTAGCCCCATCCATAGTCTGGGATCCCCCTGAGAATAAACTTTACTCCTGAATTATGACCTTACTGCCCACGTGACAGGAGACTGCCTTCTTCTGAGTCCCTAGGGGCAGAGCTCCTTGGACAGCCACAGTGGCCTGAATCAGTCGCTCTGGGCCCTGTGCCCAGAACATCCAGCTGCCTCCACGGGGCTACCATTATGCCTTTAACCAATCCAATTCTAGGTCCCCCTGCTTACCACTCACTCTTACTGGTAAATTCCCAGCATGCCTCATGTTTGAGCAAGTCTGGATTAAAATAATTCCAACAAGAATAATCTTTCAGAAGAAAGGCTAAATTAAGCTTGCAAACTAGCTTCAAAACAATCTTAGAATTTTAGAACTGGAAGCCTCCTTAGAGATCATCTAGCCTGGGGGTTTTTTAAATTTATTTCTCTTTTCTCTTTCTAAATGGAATATTACATAGAAATTCACGTGAAATTAATCAAAATGGATCTGCTTGGAGGAGCGGGTAGGGGTAAGAATTAGAATCCGAACATATAGGCCGTTTGGGACCTCCTCAGACTTCCTCCTTTGAGGAAGCTCTAGGGAACCCCTGTGGTGTAGTTTGAGAACTACTGATCTATTCCAATGCCTTTATTTTAAAGAAAAGTATTTGCAGACCACAGATATTAGGTTTCCATGACATCAGTCCAAAAGCTGAGCTTATTTTACTGTGTTTGTATCTCTTAGGGTACAGGAAAGCAGAAATATCAGGTTATCAAGTGATCAAATCTATATGACTCCTTTCTTTCCATTCTATTAAATTTAAATTAACTCTCATTTTTGAGAACCTATGCATGCAAGATACCACACTTGTGCTGCAACAGAGGCAAAGAGGACCAAGACACAGGTGCTGACTTCTGGAAGCTCAAGCACTAATGGGTATATCCGTAACTATAAAGCCAGGTGTTAAGACTAGCGTAATAAAAAAAAAAATACAAAAAAATGTAGAGTTTTTAAGGTGAGTGTATTAGGGTTCTCCAGACAAAGAGAACGAAAAATTAGCAGTTGCCTACCTTTGGAAGGCCACACAGACACACGTATGTGTGTGTATGTGTGTATGTATATATAC